ATTTCAAAGTGTTTTATTTTTATTTAACTCAAAAAAGTTCAGCAATGACCCCAACTACAATTTCTAAAGAATTGCATGTTTATCAGTATTCTATAATGACACACATATCTTGTGAAGAAAAATGCGGTTAAACATGTTAAAAGTCATCTAAAAAAACTGCAAATTCAAGCAAAACCACAGTCAGAAAACACCAGATGCTGCAAAACTGAGACACGGATGAAGAGCTTCAAACAGATAAAACATCTAAACAGACACTGAAAATAAAGAGAAATCAACCAAAACAACAGAATAAAGTAAAAGAGCAAGAGCAGGGGCCTCATTTATAAAATGTTGCGCAAAAACCATCTTAAAATTGATCTTACGATCATCTCTCAAATATGCATACGGGTGATTCATAAAATTAACGTACGTACAGAAAACACATGTACGTCTCTTTGAGATGTGAAATCTATGAATCGCAAATGATCTTGAACTTGCAGGCAAATGAATGGTTTCAGCTCTCTGATTGTAAACGACTCCTAATCAGTAGTGTGTCCACAAGGATGGCACGGGGTGGCAACTGCCACCCTAAAAATGAGCTTTGCCACCCCAAAGCAGCGTATGGGATTGAAGTGCATTGAGAGCGGAGCAGTGTGATTTTGACTGAAGCTGGGATTTTTTAAATTCTGGTTTTCGCTCGCTCTCAGAGTGCTCCACTACCGCTCAATAACTAGCACAATTAATGCCGTAACTATAGCCGTTCTAAACTAGTTCTGCCTAGTCACCTTTATTTATATAGCGCTTTTAACAATACAGATTGTGTCAAAGCAACTTTACAGTATTAAATAGGAAAATAGTGTTTCAATAATGCAAAATGACAATAATAAACACTAAATTTTCAGTTAAAGGCAGTTCATCATTGAATTCAGTGATGTCATCATCCAGCTCAGTTCAGATTAAATAGTATCTGTGCAATCAAGTCGACGATATTGCTGGATATTAAGTGTCCCCAACTAAGCAAGCCAGAGGCAACAGCGGCAAGGAACCAAAACTCCATCGGTGACAGAATGGAGAAAAAAACCTTGGGAAAAAAACAGGCTCAGTCGGGGGCCAGTTCTCCTCTGGCCAGACGAAACCAGCAGTTCAATTCCAGACTGCAGCAAAGTCACATTGTGCAGAGGACTCAACTGGTTCCTGTGGTCTTGTCCCGGTGGCCGTCTAGGAGACAAGGTCTTCACTGGGGATCTGTCTCTGGGGTTCATCTAGTTGTCCTGATCTCCGCTGACATTCAGGGCTGTCGAGGTCATCTCTAGGTGCTGATCCACCATCTGGGCTGGATATGGACTGGATCTGCTGGCTACGGTGACCTCGGAATAAGAAAGAAACAGACTAATATTAGCGTAGATGCCATTCTTCTAACGATGTAGCAAGTACATCGGATGTTATGAGAAGTGTTCCCGGTTCCGGTTGTCCTTTTTAATGCAGCCTAAAAATCCTTTAACGGATTTGAATATTAGAAATGTGTTAGTGTGTTATGTGTATGCCAGGTTAAAGAGATGGGTCTTTAATCTAAATTTAAACTGACAGAGTGTGTCTGTCTCCCGAACAATGTTAGGCAGGTTATTCCAGAGTTTGGGCGCTAAATAGGAAAAGGATCTGCCTCCCGCAGTTGATTTGGATATTCTAGGCATTATCAAATTGCCGGAGTTTTGAGAACGCGGCGGACGTGGAAGACTATAATGCAATAAGAGCTTGTTCAAATACTGAGGTGCTAAACCACTCAGGGCTTTATAAGTAATAAGCAAGATTTTAAAATCTATACGATGTTTAATAGGGAGCCAGTGCAGTGTTGACAGAACCGGGCTAATATGGTCATACTTCCTGGTTCTAGTACGGTCTCTAGCTGCTGCATTTTGGAACAGCTTGAATTTGTTTATTAAGCATGCAGAACAACCGCCCAATAAAGTATTACAATAATCTAACCCTGAGGTGAACGCATAAATTAACGTTTCTGCATTTGACATTGAGAGCATAGGTCGTAATTTAGATATATTTTTGAGATGGAAAAATGCAGTTTTACAAATGCTAGAAACGTGGCTTTCAAAGGAAAGATTGCTATTAAATAGCACACCTAGGTTCCTAGCTGATGACGAAAAATGGACAGAGCAGCCATTGAGTCTTAGACAGTGTTCTAGGTTATTACATACGGAGGTTTTAGGTCCGATAATTAACACCTTTGTTTTTTCAGAATTTAGCAGTAAGAAATTACTTGTCATCCAGTTTTTTTATATAGACTATGCATTACGTTAGTTTTTCAAATTGTTATGTTTTGCCGGGCCACGAAGAAATATAGAGCTGAGTATCATCAGCATAACAGTGAAAGCTAACACCGTGTTTTCTTATGATATCTCCCAAGGGTAACATTTAAAGCGTGAAAAGTAACGGCCATAGTACTGAGCCTTGAGGTACTCCGCACTGCACTTGTGATTGATATGATACCTCTTCATTCACTGCTACAAATTTATTGAGGTCAGATAAGTACGATTTGAACCATGCTAATGCACTTCCACTAATCCCAACAAAGCTTTCTAGTCTATTCAAAAGAATGTTGTGGTCAATCATGTCGATCGCAACGCTAAGATCCAGTAGAAGGCTTTGGGGACATATCTCTCACGTGAACACGGAGCGAGGAACGAGGAGACCAGGAGAACAAAACCAGGACCTTTATTTATATCACGGGGAATCACACGTAGCACATGGAGTAAACAAAATGATACTGGACAAACCAACAGGGAACAGAACACTCTTTAAATACACTGAACAGGCTGATGGGATGACAAGACACACCTGGGATAAATGGAAACCACATAGGAAACACCTGGGACAAATTAAATGAACAATCAGGGAGCAGGCACAGGAAGACCAAATGGGGGCATGGAAACAAACATGTGACAATATCCTAATGACAATGATGAACTAATAATAGTCAGAAGAGGATCGATGACTTCTGGAAGCACCTCTTTTAGGAGCTTAGATGGAATAGGGTCAGAACATGTAATACAGTACATGTTGTTGGTTTAGATGATTTAACAAGTTTAAACAATTCTTCCTCTCCTATAGTAGAGAATGAGTGGAATTGTTCATCAGGGGATCTATATCTGATGCGATACTGTAGCTGATGGCTGCATGGGTAAAAAAACACCAGACGCCCTAAAACTGAGGCATGGATCAAGACGAAGAGTTTTGAACAGATAAAACATCTAAACAGAAGCCGCATATGAAGAGAAATCAACAAAAACCAACTGAATAAAATAACAAGAGCAGAAAATGTGAAAAACACACAGGATGACTTCACAATCTGGATGAACAGAAGGAGTTTCATGTAATGATGTAAAATACTGCTGGTTCATTCAAAGCGTAAAGACAAATGAATAAAATAAGCATTAAACTGATGCAAAAACAAATGTCCAGAAAATCATCTAATCAAAGAAGAGATTCTTAACTAAAACTGCAGAAAATGTCTTCTGGCTTTATTCTGTAAGATCTCCTGCTGTCGCCTGATGAAAGCTGGACTGATGTGAGAATCGCTGAGATTCTGAAGTCATTTCTCACAGATGTGAAGATCTGCTGCTGCTCTCATGAATCTTCAGCTGTGTGTTCATGTCGCTCTCTAAATCTGCTCATTCTCACTTTCTGATCTTCCTCTTTCTTTCCTAAAAGCATCACATCATCATCATCACACTCTTAATATTCACATGTCAAATCCATAATGATGATCATAAATGTGTCTCACCTGACGTGTGTCTCATGTAGATGTGAAAACCTCCTAACAGACCCAACAGAACCATCAGCTGGAAACCCCAGGCCAGCACAAACACCACAGACACTGAACACACTGAACAACACAAACACATCAATCAATCAATCAATCAATCAATCAATCAATCAATCAGTGTTGGGCAGTTGATTATCTGTAGAAGAGTATGAAATGATCTCACCAGGACAGGGTTCGAGTCTAATGGTCTTCTGTGTGTGACTGACGTGGTTCTTCACGCTGCAGCTGATGTTTCCATCAGTTCCCTCATCCAGATCAATGCTGCTGTTTCCATCCATCGGTGGATCTCCATTCAGAGTCCAGCTGTAGAGGAGCTGATCCCCCTCAGAGGAGCAGAACACTGACCTCTGATTGGAGGAGCAGATGACAGACACTTCCACTGAGCCAATAGCAGCTGGAGGGAGGGACACATGACAGTCACATGACTCTTTCTCGACTCATTATGAGTCAATATCAAGACATTTCTAAACAAAACTGATATCTGATATAATAGCTGGACTGAATTAAACACGCAGTGTAGGTCAGTCATGAGACAATGCAGCAAATGACTGTTTGAAATGCTTTCCCAGGTCATTAAAGAGTATGCAGTATACAGTAAGCAGCATGCTGGTGTTTCATTTTGAAAACAGTCTTAGTACATGGAAAGTGCAGATGAATTAGACTAAATTATTAATAATGAGCTGCAATAAAAACCTTCCCAGAGATTCAACTGATTGATCTGCATGAGAGTGAGATCTTTGGAGAACATGAGACTGGAATGAGTCTGATGAGAGAGTTTCTGTACCTTCAACAATCACTTGAAGATCTCCTCGAAATGTATCTGTGCCGTCTGAGTTAGTGAGTGTTAATGTGTAATTCCCTGAATCTGCTCTGATCACACGCTTTATTATCACAGTCCCATTAATGATGTTCACTTCAGGTCTGTTATTATAAAGATCACATTCTTTCTCCTTCACACACACACACACACACCATTAATTAAAATCAGACACATATTACACAAACATTCAAAGAATTAAAGTTCACCAGAAGTAACATTTCAGACTCTTGATCTGATCTCAGTTCATCTCAGTAATGCTCATCTAATGCTCAACTCTTTTCTCTTGAAGAACAATCTCATTTGTGTCTCTTGACTTAATACTGATATAATTAACAGGACACTGAAAATAATCATATTACTGGACAGATTTAACTAACACAAAATAACTGTTAAAATAAAACATTCATTTTAATTTAGAACGTCTGTTTTACATTGAAATATCAGCTCGTCTATATGCTCTCATTCATCTTAATGTTCATTTAATTCAAATTAAACTGTCATGCTCTGAATCAATCAATCAACACCACAGACACTGAACACACTGAACAATAATAGTTAGACAAAACAAACACATCGATCATGTTTCCAGTGGTGTGTTTGTTAAACTCATACCACATTCTGATGTGTGTGAGCTGCTGGTCACTGCAGAGGTCAAACTAGAGGTCACAGCTGCAGTTGTTCCTGAAATAAAACATCAGCACAGAATCACCTGCTTTCTCTCTCTGAACCACATCAACACCATTCACTGCTGAGATCAAACTGAAACAAACTAATGACGCTTTACAAGAATTAAGAGAACTGACTGTTTTACACCATTGGTGTTGCTGTGGTTATGTGAGACATTCATGTATTAGAAGCTCACCAGTGCAGATTTAATGCGGGTGCGGTTCGCAGTCTTTATGTCAAACGGGTCTGGTCTGGTACAGAATTAAATGAGTGCTGCTGTTGGATAACGGGTCGGGTGTTCTGTTAAGTACTGCTGGTGCACGTTTACCAAACAGAACCCGTGCAGGCTTTAAACTGCTTTCTCTCCGTCAGGTGACCCCATGTGCGCATGCGCCATTCACGGCTGTTACCCTAAACCTCCACACAGCTGGATATTTTTACACCAAGGGATGAGAACGTAATGATTACTAAAACGATTATTTATTTTTGATCATTATTATTTTATTTAAGTTCGTTTTTCAATAACTGTTGTTAGTTTCGTTTCGTTTTAGTTTTTTAATTGTTTTGTTGTTGCATCATCAAGTTGTTCTGAGCTATTGGATATGCTGAGGAACTGAGATAGATCAGGAAGATTACTTACAAAGCAGTCTTTTGTGGTAGAAGTGATACTTTTAACAACGATTATAATTGACAGTTTTAGCTATATGAAGTTTGCACAAGACTAGATAATGATCTGAGATATCATCGCTTGGCTGCATAATTTCAACACCATCAACATCAATTCCATGTGACAGTATTAAATCTAGAGTATCATTTCGACAATGAGTAGGTCCTGACACGTGTTGTCTAACCCATATAGAGTTCAAAATGTCTATGAATGCTGATCCCAATGCATCAGTTTTATTATCAACATCGATATTAAAATCAGCAACAATTAAAACTTTATCTGCAGCCAGCACTAACTCGGATATAAAGTTATTCTTTAATATATTCTTTTTTAAAGCAAATTCTTTAATAAAGTCTGTATGGTGCCCTGGTGGCCTGGATACAGTAGCCAGTACAAACATCACAGGGGTTTTATCATTAACACTAATGTTATATGAAGCACTAGTACTTCAAACGAGTTATACTTGAAGCCCGCCCTTTATAATTAAACCTACATTACAGATTCTTATTAGTTAAAATAACTAATTATTTATTAATAATTAACGACAACTTAACAGATTACAGTGATTCCTTAATAAATCAGCAAGTATATTAAAGCATCAGGGTTCAAATTTGTGTTCTTACTTGATCTAGACTCACAAATGTATAGTAAATAATCTATATCTTCAGCTGTCTGGTCAGATATTGTGGGAAATGCAATGTTTATCTCATGTTGGTAAGAACAGAAGGTCCAGCTTGTCTACAGCCAGACACCACATTATAAAAGACAAAATGCTCTTTCTTTGTTATGAGCGTCATCTGCAGGAGGAAACTAAATTAATTAGATTTCTGTCTGTATTTTTATGTCGTTTTTATTTTATGTCTGTTTAAATTCAATGATGTGTGCTTTCTGTTAGTTAAAATGTTTATTGACCGTATTAAAACCCTTAAAAATTGAATGAGCGTGAGATGTTTGACTGTGAATCGATTGATTTCAAAGCATTTTATTTTCATTTTACTCTTTAACAAAGTTAAGCTTAAATTCAACACTGACTTCATTTACAATTCTTTAAAAAAATCATGTTTATCAATATTCTATAATGGCACAAAGATCTTGTTAAAAACATGCACAAATGTGGCTAAATGTGTTAAAGCCATTTAAAAAACAGCACATGCAAGTAGAATTTTAAAATCATGGATAAAAAAACACCAGACGCCCCAAAACTGAGGCATGGATCAAGACGAAGAGTTTTGAACAGATAAAACATCTAAACAGAAGCCGCATATGAAGAGAAATCAACAAAAACCAACTGAATAAAATAACAAGAGCAGAAAATGTGAAAAACACACAGGATGACTTCACAATCTGGATGAACAGAAGGAGTTTCATGTAATGATGTAAAATACTGCTGGTTCATTCAAAGCGTAAAGACAAATGAATAAAATAAGCATTAAACTGATGCAAAAACAAATGTCCAGAAAATCATCTAATCAAAGAAGAGATTCTTAACTAAAACTGCAGAAAATGTCTTCTGGCTTTATTCTGTAAGATCTCCTGCTGTCGCCTGATGAAAGCTGGACTGATGTGAGAATCGCTGAGATTCTGAAGTCATTTCTCACAGATGTGAAGATCTCCTGCTGCTCTCATGAATCTTCTGCTGTGTGTTCATGTTGCTCTCTAAATCTGCTCATTCTCACTTTCTGATCTTCCTCTTTCTTTCCTAAAAGCATCACATTATCATCATCATCATGCTCTTAATTTTCACATGTCAAATCCATAATGATGATCATAAATGTGTCTCACCTGACGTGTGTCTCATGTAGATGTGAAAACCTCCTAACAGACCCAACAGAACCATCAGCTGGAAACCCCAGACCAGCACAAACACCACAGACACTGAACACACTGAACAACACAAACACATCAATCAATCAATCAATCAATCAATCAATCAATCAATCAATCAGTGTTGGGCAGTTTCAATCAATCAATCAATCAATCAATCAATCAATCAATCAATCAATCAATCAATCAATCAATCAATCAATCAATCAATCAATCAATCATTCTGTGCGTGACTGACGTGGTTCTTCACGCTGCAGCTGATGTCTCCATCAGTTCCCTCATCCAAATAAATACTGTTTCCATCCATCAGTGGATCTCCATTCAGAGTCCAGCTGTAGAGGAGCTGATCCCCCTCAGAGGAGCAGAACACCCTCATCACCCCACTGGAGGAGCAGATGATTGACACTTCCACTGAGCCAATAGGAGCTGGAGGGAGGGACACATGACAGTCACATGACAAACACAGGAGAATCTTGTTCCTCCACACGACTCATACTATCACTGGAGTCTGTAGTGTGTTTACTGTGTGCTACAGGAATAAAAACCTTCCCAGAGATTCAACTGATTCATCTGCATGAGAGTGAGATCTTTGGAGAACATGAGACTGGAATGAGTCTGATGAGAGAGTTTCTGTACCTTCAACAATCACTTGAAGATCTCTTAGGTCCCATGAGTGAGTTAAATATAAAATGTAATTCCCTGAATCTGCTCTGATCACACAGTTTATGATCAGAATCCCATTAATGATGGTCACTTCAGGTCTGTTATTATAAAGATCACATTCCTTCTCCTTTATTCTGTCATTTTTTACTCTACAAACTGGATCATCTTGTGTGTAGTTTATTCTCTTTATTATCTTCAGCTCATATTCTCTAGCGTCCCGCACCATCAGCAGATTGAGTTTGTGTCCCAGAGCTGCGTAACAGGGATCAGACTGATCAAACCTGCAGAACCGATCCAGACCTGAAGAACAAAACACACACACACACACGCACACACACACAGTTATATAAATTGCATAGACTTCTATCGTTTTTATATCCAGCTAATTAAAAACTTTAATGTTTTACCCTAAAAGAAAACTTTCTGAATTTTTACAATTTAAAAAATACTTAATTTTTATACCATTATTACAAATGATCCTCAAAATGATTCATGATTCTCATGATTCATGATTCATGATCCTCATGATTCTCAAAAAAGTTTTGGGAAGGGTTTTCAGGATTCGCTGCCCAAAACTTATATCTTGGTGCACTCACATAAAGAAATATACATTAAATTTAATCAACAAATCAGCTCCAAACTATTTAAATTTATTTACATTATTTCTGACTGAAATTCATAAATGTTGGAAATTAAAGAAAGAATGAAATATAATTCTTATTTTTATTCAACATAATTTAACATAGTCATGTTGTCTTCCGGAGGTTCACAGGTAGACCTACTGTACATTTTTAGACAACCTTACTACCAGTGTTGGGGAAAGTTACTTTTAAAAGTAATGCATTACAATATCGCGTTACTCCCTAAAAAAGTAACTAATTACGTTACTTAGTTACCTTTTATGGAAAGTAATGCGTTACATTACTTTTGCATTACTTTCGCATTACTTTTTAAATATGAGCAGGGCTTGATTGTTTTTAATATAAACAGTTCTATTTTTGCTTATTAGTACGGTTGAACTGGATCATCAAAGGTCAGCAGCAAAGACATTGGTTAATAAAATGGGATTAGATACATTTGTGTTATTTAACATATTTAATTATTGCAGGTTTGCGTCATATTCTGAGTTTGCATTTCACTGTTTTTATTCATTTTGATGAATACTAAATCAATTTTTGCGAGTGGGATGAATTAATGCACATTCACATTTAGTCTAGAACTACAGTAACATCATGTTCACACAGCGCACACAACGCCTCTGTACTTCCGATTTCTCCCAATATGGGGACAGGAGAGCTGTCAGTTAATAAATGGTAAAACAAAGTAACTCAGAAATTTTCTTGTAAATTAAAAAAGTAATGCATTACTTTACTAGTTAATTGAAAAAAGTAATCTGATTACGTAACTCGCGTTACTTGTAATGCATTACCCCCAACACTGCTTACTATATATAATATTTAACATTCAAATGTATAAATATATATAAACACTGATTGCAAAATTAAAACAAAGTACATTTAAGTACTATTTGTTTAATCTTTTCACCAAATCCTGTACTATCAAGGGCAGTATTGCTGATAAAAATTGAGGAAAAAAAATATTAAAATCAATTTAATAAAGATATTAGTGCTGGTATCTATCTGATTTCAATATTAAAATACTTTTTTCCCATTTCTGAAGATAAAATGAACAATTAAAGCTACTCAAAATTAAATTTAAATGTCATTATTTTTGGAAGAGGATGCGGAGACAAACATAGTCACTTAGGACTGTGCAGGTTGTCCTCGTTCAGCTTTGCTATTCTTTTGATTTATATGACCAGGAAATGTTTGTTTCAGAAATAATAAAGTGAAGATGCTGCTGACTTAATTCTTCCAAACATTCCATTATGAGTTGCATGAATAAAAACCTTCCCAGAGATTCAACTGATTCTTCTGCACGAGAGTGAGATCTTTGGAGAACATGAGACTGGAACGAGTCTGATGAGAGAGTTTCTGTACCTTCAACAATCACTTGAAGATCTCTAGATGTTTTTGTGACGTCTGAGCGATGAGTGAGTGTTAATCTGTAATTCCCAGAATCTGCTCTGATCACACGGTTTATGATCAGCATCCCATTAATGAGTGTCACTTCGGGTCTGTCATTATAAAGATCACATTCCCTCATCCTGCCATATTTTACTCTACAAAATCGATCATCTTGTGTGTTGTTGTTTATTCTCTTTATTATTTTCAGCTCATATTCTCTAGCGTCCAGCACCGTCAGCAGATTGAGTTTGTGTCCCAGAGCTGTGTAACAGGGATCAGACTGATCAAAGAACCGATCCAGAACCGATCCAGACCTGAAGAACAACACACACACACACACACACACAGAGAGAGAGACTTGACTTTAAGGGTCTCTTTATTACAAAAATTAAATAAACCATGTAAGGGGAGAAAAAGTAAATAATCACTCAAATACGGTTTTATGAGCAAACAGCCATCTGAGTCAACTTCACAAAAACACTGGTTTACTCCCCAGTTGTATTTGAACATCTGCAGATTGTTTACCAAATTGTAAAAACTATACTCTGTTGATGCATGATTTTAAAAATCCCTTTAAAACTGAAATAACATCAGTTGAGCCCATATCATTCAATTTACTTTTTCTTGACAACCATATAGTCATCTTCTCTTGCCCAAATAAATAGTTAAATAAAACATGACTCTCCATTCTACTTCTACTGTACTTAGGCCCATAAATAAACCTTTCTGGTGTGAAAACTTACTCCAGGGTTTGACACCACTCCAGTTTATAAAATAACGGCTGTAATCTCAGATAGTTAAAAAAATAAGTGAAAATCTGCTTCTTGTACTCCACAAAAAGGTGGAGTACAAGAGTGTGCTCTGTTTCTGTTTGTTGCTATTGTAATGCTTGCTTGAGCGCTTGTGGGTGTTTTCGGGGCTTTAACTGAATGTTTAGAGAAATAAAACCCTAGAATACTGACGAGCTCTTTTTCCTCCACTTTATTCTCTATTCACCTTCTTCTCTTTTTCCTTTTCTGCCCCGTCAGAATAAAAGTCCTCATAACAACAGGCACTTTAACATGGGACATTTCTAACACAAGAATACAATTGTTTAATTTTTAACTCTTACACTACTTCCCCCTTATGAAAAGAAATGTTCTCGTTTTCTGAAAAACCACAACAAAAATCATACATTTGTAATAACATAAGCTTTCCAGACCTTGGTAATTTCAACACAAAACACTTTCAGGTACAGAAAAAAAGTTTCAACAACAGTAAACTTTTACAACATACAAATAACAACTTGAATGTGTTATGTTTCTGACCTCATTTGACATTATTCCACTGTGTTTTCTACCATACCCTTCAAAATCCCATACTCAGGAATGTATTAGCAAATGGGAAGGAAAAAAACACTATAGAGATAAATAAAGACCTTATAATTCCCTATAACATATTGGAGGATGCACAGAACGTCCTGACCTTATTGTCGTGCCCTCTGCTGGTTTTTCACAAGAGATTTCTACTGGCAATTTAGCTCTAGACCCCTCAGACAGTTCATTCTGAACAGGAGGTAATGTAACATCCCTCTCTTGCACCCCTTGAATGGGTCTTACAGACTTGGGTACCGAAGAATCTTGAAGAACATAAGGTCTGGACCCTGATAGCCCTGTAAGTGGAGGGCGTCCACTTTGAGGGTATATCAGAACTGGACGTGGTTCAGGGGACCACACAGAGCGGTAAGGTTTTAGCCAATTATAGTGAATCACTTTAGGCTTTGACCTAGGATCAAGCAGATCTAACACTTTATATGTCACTCCAATGTCACCTGTGGATGAATCCAATCTGCTCAAGACCCTGTATGGTCCAGTCCATTTTGGAGAGAGTTTGTGTCTTGACATAGCTGGAAGATCAAACCATATGAGATCATCAGACTGATAAGCTGTATGGCGGATATGGCGGTCATAGTAATTATTTTGCTGTGCTCTAGCTGTCTGGATATTGTCTGCAACAGTGGTGAAAGCAGAGTGTAATCGGCCAAGCATAGAATGCGCATATTCATTTGGGATTCCTGGGGTAGCTCTAGAAGGTGCTATGGGAACACCCAGAAGAAAATCAGCAGGAAGGCGAGCTTCTCGGCCATGTGCCAATAAAAAAAGGTGTGTGTTTGGTCGAAGAATGAACACGTGTATTGTAAGCAAACTCAACCTGTTTTAAGTGGTCATCCCATTCTCCACCTTTGGTATACAGGTACTTTCAAGCTGATCTTTTATAGATCTATTGGCACGTTCCACCATACCGTCCAACATAGCATGATATGGGGATGTCCTTGTATTATTAATCCCAAGTAGGGAGCACAGTTCTTTCACCAAGTCAGAGTCAAACTGCCACCCTTGGTCAGTGTGCAAACTCTGGGGCACTCCATGCTGGCCCACATAATCTTCAAACAAACACTTAGCGATGGTCATTGCACGTTGATCAGCAATTGCATAGAGGTTGAGATATTTTGTAAAGTAGTCCATTACTGCAAGAACATAACGGTTCCGTTTCTGAGTAACAGGCAACTCCGTTAGATCAGCAGCAATTTTCTCAAAAGGCATGCTTACAATTATGTTTTGCATTGGTGCCTGCTGATGAGGCATTGGTGGTCTCCTTGATTCACAGGCTTGACATTGAGCACACCACTGTGTAATGTCCCTAGACATGTGGGGCCAAAAACATCTCACTAGAGCATGCTGCAATGTCTTTTGTGCACTGAAATGTCCAGAAAGAGAGTGACCATGCAAATTCTCAATCACTTTTAGCTGCAGCGCAGGTGGAACTACAACCTGCAAGATCTGATCACCTGGTGGGGGTCTAACTTTATGGCAAAGAACAAAATCCACAAAAGTAAGCCTTGGGAACTCTTTCCAGAAATGCCTCAGTTCGCTAGCAGTTCCTTTCAGCGTTGTATATGTAGGTCTCTTCTTACTTGATACCCATTCAGCGACAATGCTTAGGACAGGATCAGCTGTCTGAGTTTGCTGTATATCTTCACTACCCATACCCAGGCATGCAACGCTAGAACAGGCAAGGAAAGCAGAATTTGAAGGTTCAAACCCAGAACATGTATCAGAAGAAACAAGCTGTACAGGAGTAGAATACGGTTCGGTGACCTCAGTCTGCCTTGAAATGGCCACTAAATGGACAGACTTGATCTCAGAATTATTAGAAATCTTCCTACTCTCTTCGTCAGGTCGACGAGACATGGCATCTGCGTTGGCATGTTTATGACCATGCCGGTACTCAATAGTCCAGTCATAGAGTTCAATTGAAAAGTCTGGGTAAGAAAGAATTGGAGCATTTGTAAGTGCATGTCGCAGGAAATTGAAAGCTTCCTGTTCTGTCTCAGTCCAAACAAACAACTTCCCTTTCTGAGTTAGAGCATGCAGTGGCTCTGAAATTTGAGCAAAGGAGTGAATAAAATACCTGTAATATGAACACAAACCTAAGAAGGCTCGAACTTCTGTAGGACTTCCTGGAGTAGGCCAATCCTTGACCTTCTGAATATTTTTCCCATCTGGCTGAAGACCCGCAGATGATACCACATGGCCCAGAAATGTCACTTGTGTTTGAGCAAAAGAGCATTTAGCTGGTTTTAGCTTCAGGTTTGCTGCCCTCAAACGCTGGAAAGCCTCTCTCAAGTGCTGTATGTGCTCACTGAAACTCTTGCTATAGACAATTATATCGTCTAAATATACAAGACATGTTTTCCAGGACAGTCCACGCAGCACTAACTGCATCAAGTGTTGAAAAGTGGGTGGAGCATTGACAAGGCTCAACGGCATCACTGTAAACTGATACAAAGACCGACCCGTGGTGAAAGCTGTTTTTCGTTTATCTGCCTCATGAAGTTGCACTTGCCAATATCCGGATGAAAGATCCATAATACTGAATATAGATGAACCTCTTAGTGCATCCAAGGTGTCATCTGTTCTAGGCAATGGATGGGCATCCTTAACGGTGACAGAATTAAGGCCCCTATAATCTACGCAAAAATGCCAGGTGCCATCTTTTTTTCGCACCAAAATGATAGGCGCAGCCCAAGGGCTATGACTGGCTTCCACAATGCCTTTTGCCACCATGTCGTCCACATGTGACTGAATCACCTCCTGCATCTGAGGTGAAGTGCGATAAGCATGTTTCTGTATGGGAATTGCATTGTTAGTATTGATTTTGTGTGTGACAATGTTTGTTCTACCAAAGTCTGTATGGCTCTTACTAGACATGTCACAAAACTCATGTAACACTGAATGCAGTTCATTCACCTGAGAATCAGAGAGATCCCCCCTTTGAACTTAAAATTGTAGAGGTGATACCTGTGTAGAAGGGGTAGACACATTACATACAACATCAAAGTGCTCAACAACATCATCTGAGCTTATTGGAGTGAACTCCCCAGTTGCATACCTGGTTGCAGTACAAAAGGGCTGTTAGTTGGATTCATGAGCCGCTCTAAAGTTTGACTGTTTTCAGCTATTGTAAGAGTGTGTGCAACTGAAATACCATCTAACCTGAATAGATATGGCTCAAACAACCCACAGTATCCAACTGCTAAACCTGCATGAACAGCAGATGGGATAAGATGTGCTATACAGTGGGCCAGAATGGTAGTTGTCACAGTAATTTGAGCTGTACAATGTACAGTGGTAAATTGAGATTTGCTTGACAGCGGCAAAGTTTGGTCATATAGGCAACACATACATTTACCGACATTCAAGACCAGCTGGTGCTTCTGGAGAAAATCCCAACCAAGTATGAAACCCTGATTCACATTTCTGATGACATGCATGTCATGTTGTAATGTCAGTGTACCTAATCTGAGGTTAACAGTCACCGTTCCCAGAGTATCTAAATTCTGACCAGTTACATATTTTGACAGAATGAAAGTACTCTTTAGTGGTCTTTTACGCAATGAAGGAATTGCCATACGGGTAGTGTCATTAATGAATGAAATACTAGACCCAGTGTCTATCATGATGTGCATGTCAGTACCTTCAACAATACCACTGATGTGTGCGGTACTAGTGTCTGTCATGTCCACAACAGGAGAACATCCATTCTCTGGATGTCTGGTGTCTGTGACTGTCATCTGCTCAGTGTCACTTGGGGCTGGTGGTGAAATAGCTGATGTGTGCCCCGCCGCATCAGCTAATGGAAGTTTTCCTGATGATAGCTGCGACGATCCATGTAGACATCACACAAACCACTCTGATGATCCAGGCTGTGCTGCTGAGGTCTGTAATGATGGTCCTGGTTGTCGTCAAAGGTGACACGCCTGTGATGAGGGCTTGGACTGCGTCGCTGTAATGATGAGTTGTTGGAAGCCATGGTGTCATGCCGTTGTCCCTGTCTGTAATCCACATAGTGGTCAGTGCCGGCTGCAGTGGAGTATTTTGGAGAATAGTAATCCTCAAACCTCTCCCTGCGGTGCGGTGAGAAGTCCACTCTGCCATTATGCTAGTATGTGTCGCCCTGTTGTCTGTAAAGGTCTCTGCGATGGCTGGGAGATCTTCTGTAGATGCCAGGTGATGGAGAACGTGCATCAGGATGTTTGGTTGATAAATGACCATACGATGCACTCCATTCCGTGGCATATCTCGTTGGACTAGCATGTCTTGTTGAACTATGACGACATGGTGATGGGGTTCAATGAGATCGGCTGCGTTGATCATGCAGCTGAAGTTTCAATGCTGAGACATCCTTACTTAAATCTTTGACTGTGTTTGTGAGATCAACAACGGCTTGCTTCAAAAAAAGAGTGTCAGTGTCAGAAATTACATTCACTGTCTGTGCCATCGGATTCTCTCTCACCGTAGATGAAACTTGCTGTACCAATTTGGCTGCTGTCTGTGCCCGTTCAGCTTTGGTAGCGACTTGGAAGGTGTCTTTGAACGTTTTCACACCCCTCTCGTGGCATTTGATCTGGAGTTCTTGATCTAAACCCGCCAGAAATTGTGACAGTTTCATGTATTCAGATGCATTCTGTTCGAAATCAGGAAAAGCTTCTTTGACCAGTCTACATATGTCTGCTGCATACGCTTCCATTGGTTCATTAGGCAATTTATGGCGTGAATTTGGAAATTTTTGAAACAATGCTCTGACATCCTTCTGGCCAAACGCCTCTTGTAATTCTTTTTTTGCTGCTTTGAACGAGTGCTGAATTTCAGATGGAAAATTGTCCCAAACAATGAACCGTTCAGGTGGCAGTCTAGTAGGCAACTCTGCTGCTAACACTGTATCCAAATCAACACCGCTATCTTTATAGCGAGCCTCTTTAATCACCTCATAACGACGAGCCCACAGCTGAAAGGACTCAGTGCCGTCATTGTGAAATGGCGGTGGTAAAGGAATGTCTTTTGGGGAAGTTTATGCGCGGTGCAGCCGCGAGGTATGAGCACTGTTCTCCCGCGGCGCTTGGGCTTACTCGTCTGATATCTCTTAATTTTATTAACGGCACACCGAACTTCACAGAGTCCCGCTGGTATCACACAGATGTCCACACTATGCTTGTGCAAGGCGCCGGCGAAAAATAAAGCATAAATAAAAAAAGAAACTCGAATATCCGACGAAAAACACCGCTGCCACCAGTGTAATGCTTGCTTGAGTGCTTGTGGGTGTTTTCGGGGCTTTAACTGAATGTTTAGAGAAATAAAACCCTCGAATACTGACGAGCTCTTCCCCACTTTATTCTCTATTCACCTTCTCCTCTCTTCCCTTTTCCGCCCCATCAGAATAAAAGTCCTCATAGCAACAGGCACTTTAACATGGGCCATTTCTAACACAAAAATAAAATTGTTTAATTTTTAACTCTTACACTATTATACCATGCACAATCCTCCATTGCAAGTCTCCAGTTCTTTTCTAAATTCCCTGCACATGAACGTTAACTGAAGAAGTATGCGATTGGTGCTGACAAAACAGTACATTGTGCAGTTTCGCGCATGTTGGAGTTATGAATGAAGAAAGATTGATAATCTTTTATCGCTTGCAATAAGTGTTGATAAGTAACTGTTATCGTAAGTGGATTTGAAGTTCTCAAATGGCAGACGATGACGCTGCTATTACCGAGTCTGAGCGTAGGCGGGCACTCACCGACAAGGGTTTGGAAGAGAAGCTTCACAACAAGATAAATGTCACAAGAGGCAAGTTGAGACCATTAACTGCAAAATTAAATAGCTTATGGAAAACACTTGCAATTTGAATGATGTTGAAACTAAGCAGTTTAAGAAATACAAAAGGCTGTTTGAAGAACTGTTGAAAGCAGTGCTTCAGTGTTGTTGTACTTAAAAGAGGAAGAACATGAGGTCAATCAGGATTTCTGGTTTCAGCCTAAATTGTTGTGCTGCAAAAATTTCATGGAAAAGGGGATTTGTGGATTGAGGGAACTAAGAACAGCATTAAGATGTCTCAACTTTGTGACAAAGAAGTATCACCAATGGACAGTGTGTCAATGGTGGTCTCTAAGACACTCACTTCTAATAAGTCTGGAAGTGGAGTGACATCTGTATCCAAAACGTCCTCAATGTCTACAGCATCCTCAGCTTGTCTTAAGGAAGAAGCTAACGAGCAGCTTTGTTGGCTAAAGCAGCAGCGTTGAAAGAACGGCAGGCATTGGAAATGAAGGAAGCACAGTTAAAGGCTGAAATGGAAAAGCTGGAAATTGAAACAGCTCTTGCAATGTCTAATGCTAAAATAAAAGTGTATCAGGAATGTGAAGAGCAAAAATATTATGCAAGTCAAAGTGTGGTCAAATTTGAGTGGCGTAGATGTTCCCAAATGTTATGAAAGCATTTGAAAATGCTGTTGAATCCAGAGCTCATAGTAGTGCTGATAAGTAATACTTTCTGGAACATCACACTAGAGGAAAGCCAGAGATCTTGTAAAGAGATGCCAGCATATGCCAGATGAGCGTAGTTATGCAGAAGCAATGAGACTGCTGCATGAGAGGTTTGGAAATGAGCTAAAAACTGTGACAGCTTTGATGCAAAAGGCATTTAAATGGCGTGAAATAAAGACAGAGGATGGAAAGTCTTTACGTGCTTTCTCATTGTTCCTGGTAACTTTCCACAATATCATGGAGGATATTGAATACATGGATGAGTTAGATAATCCTACCAACATGAGGACTATTATCTCAAAACTGCCCTACAAATTGTGTGAAAGATGGAGGGCCCATGCTTATGAGTATGAGGATCACAGTCGAAGAAGAGCCAAGTTTGTACAGTTGGTGGAATTTGTTGACTGACAAGCAAAAGGTAATATCAAATCCACTCTTTGGAGATCTGGATGCTTTGGCAGTTGAAGAAAGAAAGACACTAACAAGTCTCTCCAAGGAACCAAGCTGAAGAAGGGAGGAAAAAGAGGTAGCAGCTTTGTAACTGGTGTAAAACAGGTTGGTGAAAATCACAAAGACTTGACTACAGCAAATATTAATGGTGCATCAGTTATTAGTCCTTTCACTATACATTGTGCATTCTGTGAAATAAGTCATACCTTAGATGAATGCTTCCAGTTCAGTGCTAAGTCATATAAAGACAAATTTGACTTTTTGAGAAAGAATGGATTTTGCTTTGGATGTTTAGGATTAGGATTAGGATTACTTTATTTGTCCCAAGGGAAATTTGTCTTGGACATAAGGGCTGCCACATACAAGAATTATAATAACAACACAACAACAACACACACAAAAAAAATACAACATAAGTGCCTTCAATACCTGCAACACCTTCATTTCACCGCCACCTTTTGTCCTGAGTTTAGGAGATTCACCGATAAAGGAATTAAAGAGATTTATACCTATTCAGGTATCTTTTCCTGTGTTTGGTTGGAACCCTATAGCGACTACTTGAGGGAAGCAGTTCGTATTCTAAGTACAAGACGTGAGAGGGATCTGCAATAATTTTATTAGCCTGTTTAACTATGGTCTTCTCAAAAAGAGTTTGGAGGGAGGGATGCTGTGCTGCTTTCAGTATCTAGTGCGACCCAATTTTGCAGCAGTAACTGCAGGTAAAGTTTCTTGTAACTGCTGATCAGTCCTGCACAACATCTTGTATTAGTTTTAGCTCATTCCTCAGAACAGAACCACTTAAACTCTGTGATGTTATGGGTTTCCTCCTATGAACTGCTTACTTCAGCTCCTTCCACAACATTTCAATTGAATCAAGGTCCAGACTCTGACTCTGCCATTCCAAAACATTACCTTTGTCCTTCTTTAACCATCCTTTGGTAAAATGACTTGTGTACTTCGGGGTCATTGTCAAGAGAAACTGGGCGATGCAGCAAGACAATGACTCCAAGCACACAAGTCATTTTACCAAAGGATGGTTAAAGAAGGACAGAGGTAATGTTTTGGAATGGCCGAGTCAGAGTCTGGACCTTGATTCAATTGAAATGTTGTGATAATACCACCACCATGTTTCGCAGATGGGATGAGGTTCTTATGTTGGAATGCAGTGTGTTCTTTTCTCCAAACAGAACAATTCTCATATAAACCAAAAAAATATATTTTGGTCTCATCCATCAACAAAACATTTCTCCAGTAGTCCTCTGCTTTCATTGCTGTCTGAACCAATCTATTTATTTCTGATTTTAGCTTAACTGATATGTTACCAAACCAAGCTACAATTCCATAACGTAAGATACTCTCTATCACAGCCTGATAAAATAACATCAATACCCTTTGTTCAACACCACACACCCGGAGTCTTCGCAGGAAATAAAGTCTCTGTTGAATCTTAGTACATACAGAACTCACATGGACATTCCAAGACAATTTACAGTCAATATACACACCCAAGTATTTGTACGAATGAACCTGGGTAATACAACTGTTATGGACCAGTAGTGGAGAATGGTCCCCTGATGCCCTGGATCAAAAATCATATATTCTGTTTTCTAAATATTTACAATGAGATGATGGTCCTCACACCATTGCACAAACTTTTTAACCTCCAAGGTATAACTAGAAATGTCCATATCCATATCCATAAGTCCCAATATGGCAGTGTCATCAGGAAACTTAACAATAAAAGTGCTGGGATAACTACTTGTACAATCATTTGTGTATAATGTAAATAAAATAGGAGAACTCACGAATCCTTGCGGATCACCTGTGTCCACAACTTTAGACTCAGATAATGCCTGATTCACTCTGACCTGCTGGATCCTATTGGTCAAAAAAGAGTGATACCACTTAATGATGTATGGATTCACAGACATCTGCCTAAGTTTACTAAGAAGGATGTGTGGCTGCAGAGTGTTAAAGGCAGAGCTGATGTTCACAAACAACAGTCTAGCATAGGCCTTGGGGTTTTCAAGATAAAATATAGTAAAATATAGCAAAATAAAGTGTGTTTCAGTTAATGAAGCATCATCCATTCCCCGATTGTCTTTATAGGCAAACTGGTACGGATCTAGATGTCCCTTTATGTCTGACTTCAACTTCCCTACCATTAACTTTTCCAGACATTTCATTATAATAGAAGTCAGGGCTACTGGTCTATAATCATTTTCCTGAGGAACAGATTTTTTTGAAAGAGGTATAATTATTGCTTTTTTCTTGAGAGATGGAACTGTATGTAAATCAACAGACCTTTGAAAGACAGGGACCCAGGCTGATGTAAGTTCCTCTGCGCATGTCTTCAAAAGGAAAGCTGAGACCCCATCTGGGCCAGTTGCCTTATTAACGTTTGTTCTTTTAAAAAGTCTTGTGACTTCCCTGGGACTATTGTCTATTCTTGAAACACAATCATCCACTATTATGTTATCAATGACATTGTCCCGTTCTAAAGAGAAGTCATGTGACTCAAACCTACTGTAGAAGTTATTTAAATAATTTTCCATAATATTATCATCTGTTGTGTGCAGTATTTTTCTAATAGGAGTCATATTAATAATATATTTCATGGTAGCCCACAGTTTCTTTGTATTATTTACACAAAAATCTTTCTCTATTGATTCCTTGTACTGTTTTTTTTTAACCTATATTACGTTTCTGTTTCAACTCCCTCTGTGCTGATCTCAGTTGCACTAGATCCTTATTCCTGAAGGCAGCCCTGTTGCGCTTAATACAGTCCTTAACATCCTTAGTAATATAGTGCTTGTTATTAGGATACAGTTTTATTGACTTCTGGGGTATCACTACATCCACACAGAAGTTAATGTAAGCTGTAATGACCTCCGTGGATTTATTCAAATCTGATTCATGGAAAATGTCCCAGTCCGTGCTCAAGTAACATCCCTTTAAAGTTTCAAATCTGTCAATAGCTGTTTTGTAGAGGACTGGTTTTAAAGTCCTCACTCACCATTGTGAACTGTATGAACGTGTTGGATGGCCTTCTCTATCAATGCAGAGACTTCAACTTCTATTTTAGGTCTACTTCCATCCTACCTTCTGACCTACATCAGTGTAAATAATACTGGGACTTACAATCTTCGTTCACAGGATATTTTCCTTCTGTCTGTTCCAAAGGTTAGAACTGAGCTGGGAAAAAAGGCGTTTAAGTATGCTGCTCCCTCTTCATGGAACAAATTACAGAAATCTATGAAAATTAATACGCTGGTCTCATTGGTCGCTTTTAAGAGGATGTTAACTGACTTGGAGGCAGTCACATCTGGCTGTAGATGTTTTGCATGATGTGTTATTGATTGTGGTTTATTTTAAAGGATTCGCTATTTCAGCTGTTTTATGTTACTATATTTTGTACCTGTATATATGTATGTATGTATGTATGGTTGTACTGCTACCTATCTTGGCCAGGACACTCTTGAAAAAGAGATTTTTAATCTCAATGAGTTTTCTTCCTGGTTAAATAAAGGTTAAAAAAAATAGACCTTAGTGAAAGGAGACTTAAGCAAAGACTGCACAAGAAGAATCACTTGTCAGTTGTGCCCAAAGAAACATCCTTGCATGCTACACATTGCCGCACAAGACAAATCTCATGGGAAGGTAATGATAAAGGTTGCTGAAACTGAAACACTTAATACTTTGTCTGCTACAGTGAGTCATGAAACAAGTACCTGTACCGGGGTCAGAGAAAATGTCATTCTTGCCATAGTGAGACTTCAACATTGGTATATCTTCATATACAAAGCTATTTTAGGTCTACTTCCATCCTACCTTCTGACCTACATCAGTGTAAATAATACTGGGACTTACAATCTTCGTTCACAGGATATTTTCCTTCTGTCTGTTCCAAAGGTTAGAACTGAGCTGGGAAAAAAGGCGTTTAAGTATGCTGCTCCCTCTTCATGGAACAAATGACAGAAATCTATGAAAATTAATACGCTGGTCTCATTGGTCGCTTTTAAGAGGATGTTAACTGACTTGGAGGCAGTCACATCTGGCTGTAGATGTTTTGCATGATGTGTTATTGATTGTGGTTTATTTTAAAGGATTCGCTATTTCAGCTGTTTTATGTTACTATATTTTGTACCTGTATATATGTATGTATGTATGTATGGTTGTACTGCTGCCTATCTTGGCCAGGACACTCTTGAAAAAGAGATTTTTAATCTCAATGAGTTTTCTTCCTGGTTAAATAAAGGTTAAAAAAAATAGACCTTAGTGAAAGGACACTTAAGCAAAGACTGCACAAGAAGAATCACTTGTCAGTTGTGCCCAAAGAAACATCCTTGTATGCTACACATTGCCGCACAAGACAAATCTCATGGGAAGGTAATGATAAAGGTTGCTGAAACTGAAACACTTAATACTTTGTCTGCTACAGTGAGTCATGAAACAAGTACCTGTACCGGGGTCAGAGAAAATGTCATTCTTGCCATAGTACCTGTTCAAATAAAGTCCAAAAAGAGTGACAAGGTAGTGGAAGTATATACATTTATGGACCCAGGCAGTTCTGCCACTTTCTGTATGGAGTCATTAGCAAGACAGTTACATGTTTTAAGGCAGAAAAGCTGACATGATCTTAAGCATGAGTAGAAAGTTATGTTCTCACTGACTTGGAGGTTAGTGGACTGGAAGAAAACAACTTTGTTGAACTTTCCAAAGTCGTTGCGCAAAAGGGCATCCCAGTCTCAAAGGAAAGCATTACACAACAACACAATATTGATAAGTGGCCTTCCTCAGTGAAGTGAAATTGCCTCAGATTGATGCTGGAATTTAAATCCTCATAGGCAACAGAGAGTACAAGCTTCTATAACCATGGCGAGTAATTAACAGTAAGCATAATGGGCCATATGCAGTAAAGACCGCTCTTGGATGGATTCTGAATGGACCTCTTAGAGAACCTGTCGAGGAGAGCATGTATGACAACAAGCAGACAAGCATTACAGTCAACAGAATTTCCATTGAAAATGTGGAGCAGA